TCTCTATTTCAGGAAAGTTTTCTGTCATTATTTCTTGAAATACTTTTTCCATGTCTACCTCAGTTTCCTATCCTTCTGGAACCCCTATTATTCGAATATTATTTTGTTTTGTATTGTCCCAAAGCTCCCGTAGGCTCTCCTCCTGCTTTTTAATCTTTTTTTCTAGAAGTTGCTCTAGTTGGGTATTTTTTTCCATCTTATCTTCTAGCTCACTGATGCGGTCCTCTCCTTCATCTAGTCTACTCCTGATGCTTTTTATTGAGTTCTTTATGGTAGCGATGTCATTTTTCATTTCTTCTTGGTTCTTCTTCAATTCCTCATGGTTCTTCCTCATTTCTTCTTGGTTATTGTCAAATTTCTCTTCCATTCTTTTTAGCCATCCTATGATCATTATTCTGAATTCTTTCTCTGATAGGCTGCTTGCCTCTGATTCCTTTACTTCCTTTTCTGGTCATACCTGCTTTTCTTTCATGTGCGGGCTATTTCTCTGTCGCCCCATGGCTCTCTTATCAGGATGTCTGGTTATGTGGTGTTCCTTCTCCTGCGTTGATTTAAAGGTACAAAATACAACCCTACCAGGTACAACTCAAGAGGCTCTTAACGGGAATGTATTGACAATATTAATAACCTCTAATAAAGGTGACCACTAGAGAAAGGCAACTTAGGGGATAGGGGGGAAGGAAGAAAGGTAAAAATAAAATAAAGAAAATTTTTTATAAAATTAAAATTAAAATTAAAATTAAAAAACTTAAGTAAATAAAAAAAAGGATAAAGAGATAGAAAAAGAAGAAAAAAAGTAATGACAATATAAAGTTGGAAAACAGGGGAAAAAAGAAAGGAGAGCGAGCGAGCGAGCGAGCGAGAGAGAGAAAGGCAGAGAAGAAGCAAACTAAAAGAGAAATGGGAAACAAACTATATATTTGTGGAGAAAATTGCTATAGAACAACCACTGAACCCAGCCAATGCCAGTAACAATAGTTGGAGATTAATACAAACTACAATAGCCACTATCATTAAGTAAGGCTATGATATACAGAAGTAATAGAAACAAACAAAAACAGAAGATTTAAAAAAAAATACAAAGCAACAATAACAACACAGGAAGAAGCATAAGAATTTCACTAAAAAGCATAAAAATTCACAATAATCAACCCTCACACAAACAATGCGAAAAGAATAGAGGGGAAAACAGTTTTTTTAAACTAGTTAATATAGTACAGACATTGGTATTTATACACTTGGATTAGGGGTTGGAACTTAGGTCTATAAGTATAGTGAGAGCTTTAGCAAGGGGTATACAGAAAGAATAGAGGAAAAACTAAACCGTAGACTAAAAGGGTAAAGTGTAAATAAAATGATACTGGAGAGGAAACAAACAGACAAACAAACAAATGAAAACAAAAAGAAAAACAAAACCAAACAAAACAAAAAAGAGAAACAAAAATTGCAAAATAGCAGTAGTAATAGTGATGATAGAGATTGAAAAATGTAATAATTGAAAAGGTAAAATTAAGTAAGGATAAAAGTAGAAAAAATTTTTCTTAACTAAAAGCTATAAAAAATGAAAATTAAATAAAAGATGTAAAAAATGAAAATAAAATAAAGAATAGTAAAATTAGCATAAAAATGTCCAGTAGTGGTCATTCACTTCCTCTGTTAATGTATTTGGCACTCCTGATTCTCGGACCAGAAATCCTTGCAGTCCCCAACATTCCACTCCACCTTAGTTTTGTAAGGTAAACCTTAATTTTAAGTAGGCTATTTTTTTATTTTATTTGTGTCCATTTATTTTTGATTAATTAAAATAAGAAGAGAAAAGAAAAGAAAAGAAAAAGGCAGTTTGTAATTCAGCTCTTAGGTGTCAGTGTTTCTGGTTTGACCTCCCAGTCTTTTTGGTTGCTCTGGTCTTCTTTCTGTATGGCTCTAGCTGGCAGGGTGCCAGCTGTCTCCCAGACTGTCTTCTGGCTCCGATCCCTTGTTTCCAGAAGGCAAATTCCCCGTGCAATTTCCCCGGCTATGCCCAACTGGGCAGTCCTTCCCTAGTATTCAGAAGCAAGGGGTTGAATGGGTACTGGTGCCAAGGTGTCCAGATGTTCCGCCCTTGGCGGGACAGCTGCAATTCTTAACACTCTGTTCCGTGTCCCCTGGCGTTTTAAAAAAGTCCCGCTTCTGGGGGGGGATTACTTCAAACCCAGCGCTAGGTGTCACTGCAGCCTTCTTTGGGCTCCGCTCCGCCTGCTTCAGGCTACTGTAGTGGAGGCGGGGCCGGAGCTCCCAGGCTGCTGTAGCTGCCTGCGCAGCTGTGGATCCCAGCCCCCTCAGGCTATCCCCACAAACTCTGACCTTTCCGTGGGTGACTGAAGAACTCCCCCGAATCCATGTGTCTGCGCAGCTCCCGGAGTCTCAGCTGCTGGATGGATTTTCCAGGACTCAGAGAAGCTCTTCCCTTCCTGGCAAGACGGTGCAGCCCTCCCTCCATGCCTACAGCCCGCAGCTCGCAGCCGCCGCCGCCGTCGCCGCCGCTGCCGCGGTTGTTCTGGCCACCTGGTCAGGAAATCCTGTCCAGCGGACCCTTCCTTACCCTCCTTGAGAACTCCGCTGTCCCTTAGCTTGCCAATCAACACTCCCTGAGCGACTCAGAAGCCACCTTTATCCTTTCTGGGACCAGAGTCAGAACAAGTCCGACTGTTCTGTCGCCATCTTCAAGCTCCGCCCCTCATCAGATTTTTTATTTTTAATTCCCTTGGTTTTTAGAGTCACTAGTTACGTTGCTTTGCTGGATAGAGTATTTTTTTTTTTTTTAAATCAGTCTTTATTGTTCATATTATTACAAAGGTTCCTCATTTCTTCCCCCCTCCACCAGGTTCCCACTCCACCCTCCGCCCCCTCCCCATCCCCCATTGTCCTCATCCATAGGTGCAGTTTATGTTCAGTCTCTTCTTCCCTCCCTTTCCCCAATAGTAAATCCCTTTTCAGATAGTAAATCAGTTACTTAGCATTTTCTCAAATCAATAATACCTCCACATGCCCAATGATACACTTCACACAAAAGACATTTCCCAATAGGTCCACCAGCCTCATCCAGGCCCCACCCAAGGCACTCACAGATCAACACCCCAGCCCTATACTAACTCAACACATCCAGATCTAAGCCTTCATCACTTGATTCAGCAGACCCTCAAGTTCCCGCGAAAGTTTCCAGCCATGTCTGAGAAGCAGCCGTGGGGCAGGGGCAGGCGAGGAGCGAGCTGTTCCGGGCCTGGCTGCTCAGGGCCTGGCCTCTGTTGCTCTGGTTCGTTCCACAACCAGCTGCTCCGGGTCTGGTCACTGCCGCTCCCGACCTAGTTGCTCTGGACTTGGCTGCTGCTGCTCCGGGCCTGGCTGCTCCCAACCTGGCAGCCGCTGCTCCGGGCCTGGCCGCACCCGACCCGCCTGCTCCCCCGGGCCTGGCCTCTCCCAGCCCGGCAGCCGCTGCTCCGGGCCTGGCCGCACCCGACCCGCCTGCTCCCCCGGGCCTGGCCGCTCCCAGCCTGGCTGTCACTGCTCCGGGCCTGGCCGCACCCAACCCGCCTGCTCCCCCGGGCCTGGCCGCTCCCAGCCTGGCAGCCGCTGCTCCGGGCCTGGCCGCACCTGATGGATAGAGTATATTTGGCTGTAGGTTCTTACTATTCATCATAATTAAAATTAAAATTCCAAGAGCAAAAGACAAAGACAGAATATTAAAAGCAGCAAGAGCAAAGCAGTTAGTTACCTATAAAAGAGCACCCACAGGATTGTCAGCTGATTTCTCAACCGAAACTATGCAGGCCAGATGGGAATGGCAAGAAATAGTCAAAGTGATGAATAGCAAGAACCTACAACCAAGATTACTCTACCCAGCAAAGCTATCACTCAGAATTGAAAGTTAGATAAAGAGCTTCACAAATAAAAAAAAAGCTAAAGGAGTTCATCACCGCCAAACCAGAATTACATGAAATGCTGAAAAGTATTTTTTCTTTTTGCTCTTCCAGTTGGGTGTTTATTGCTTCCTTGTATTTCAAATCTTTGACTTGATTCTTGGGATCCTCTAGTTCAGTGTTTCCCAAACTTCTCTCATGATGAGAATCACTTGGTGGAGTTGTTAAAATACAGATTCCTGAATCCTAACTAAAGTGCTAAACTTGAATTTTTGGGAACATATAGGTTAAATTGTATACTTAACTTAGTGCTCTAAGTGCTTAACTTCTTAGTTGGGATTCAGGAATCTGAATTTTAAGAAATCCACCAGGTGATTCTCATCATGAGAGAAGTTTGGGAAACACTGCTCTAGTCTACTGTTGAATCTTTGTTCTTCATTTTAATCATCGTATTATTCTTCATTTTAATCATCGTATGCTTAATTTCTGACTGATTTTTTCCCATTTTTTTTGGCATTCTCACTAAGATCCTTGAAGGTCTCACTAAGTTCCTCAGAGGTTTCTAGAAGATTCTTGAGTAACCTTATAACTATGATTTTGAACTCTATATCCAGTAGTTTGCTTGTTTCCACACCTATGCCAGCAGGTGGACATCCTCTGAGGGGTCCTGGACTGCAAAAGGGTGAAGGGTGGGCTAAGGGAATCTCCCTCCTGAGTGCATGGATTTTCATGTTACCAGGCCTTTAGTATATAATAACATTCCTGAAATATCTTTTAAAAAGTCTTCATGTTTACCTTCCATATCTAGGGAGAGTGAGAGAGAAGGGCAAACAATGATTTTATTTTCTTTCAGGCCAACTTATTTGAAAAACTAATATAAGCTACAAAAAGTAAAAGAAACATATTTAATTTGTGATAGTAGGACTTGTATCTCTTAGTTTAATAGTATTTACATTTTTGATGCACTGTGTTATGGACAGCAGCATGAAGAATTTAATGTTATATTGTAAAATGTTTGTGGTTAGTTTATATGTGACGACAGTGTGATAAAAGAAAATCTTACAATTAACTGTGTTGTTTGTTTTGTCAAAATATGCTGTCCAGCTCCAGAGTTTCCTATTTTGGAGAAACAGAATTGGCTGATACATCTTCACTATATCCGGAAGGATTATGAAGCATGCAAGGTGAGAGATTGAAATGATAGGCAGACTTTGGTTAGGCGGCTGACAGTGTCTTTCACACATTGTATCTGTCCCACTAATAACGTATGAATTGCTGTTTTCCCATACTTGGTGTATTTGTTAGCCTTTGCTATGATAATTGTATTTTAGAAACAACTTCAATTCCAGTGGTCTCCAACAACAGATGTCTATTTATTGCTCATGGCCTTCATATTGGCTGTGGGTTTGCTGGGTTTGACTACAAGTTGGCAGATGTTCAACCAGCATAGTATTTTTTACTTTTTGATCTCTGGATAGGTGAAAAGTGGTATTTTATTTAGTTTTATTTTATAATTCTCTTATTCCGGTGAGCTTGATCATCATTTGTTGGTTATATTCAAAATCCATCTGTATTTTTCCCCCTCTAAACTGTGTGTATGTTTATCACATACTATATGTTACATACTTGCTGGCAGACAATAGTATTAACATGCAAAATACATCGTTGGTATTGTCTTTTTTGGCATTCAGAGATTTGTAATATTCCTCAGGTTGTGGTTTTTAATTTATACCTGTAGTTTTTATATCTATGGCAATGCACAGACCTAGCAATATTTAGTACCAGTCTGAATCTTGAAAGGTTTCTTTCTTTCCTTCTGTGATAATTATCTTCTTTTTGTTTCCCTTTTTCTTTTTTTCTTTTTTTTTCTTTTTTAACAACTTTCTCTGTTTCCTTTTTTGACTTCTCTTTCGCTGCTTATTTTTTAAGAGTTGGGACTGACCCCTTTCTCTGCTCATTTCACATACTTCCTCCTGATCTCCAGACTAATGTGATACTTACTGAATATTTCAGTCATTTCAAATTTATCTTTTCTGTGGCTGAATTTATTGGCTTCCTTCCAAACCTATTCATTCTCCTGTTCCATATCTCAAAGATAGTTACTACCATTCACCCAGCTGTCTATGTGAGAATACCCTGACCCACTTTCCCTAATATAATATAGATAACCATCAAGTTCTGGTGCTCCTTCTCTTATTGTCTCTTGAAATTGCTTCTTTATCCTCTCCATGCCTTAGTTAATCCCCTTCATTTTAATTTAAGTTAGCAAAAGTGTTTTTATACCAGCTTTGTCTCTATTCTTGCACTCTTCCCATCTATTTTTAACAATGCCTCCCACAATTTTTTTTTTAATAGAGCAAATAGAATCAGGTTACTTACTGCTTACGACTTTTTAATATTTCCCCATTGTTCTCAGCCTTTTTAGCATGGCATTTGAAAACTTTCTCTCTGACTTTCCTGGCCACTTCATATTTTCCACCTCCTGCTAACACAGGATTTGAAACTGTTTACTCTGGAAAGCTTTATCTGGCTCTCAAAGTTAGAATCAGGTGCTTGCCCTCTGAGCTCCCATAGCACCTGGGGCTTAGCCCACCATAGTAGAAAGCGGAGCCTGTAGTTTGCTCATCAGAGTTTTTTTTTTTTCTTTCTGTTGTTGTTGTTGTTCTTAGCTTAACTAGATAGGTTTTAGGTAGGGTTAGCAAACTTTTTCTTTAAGGGACCAGATGGTAACTATTTTAGGCTTTGCAGGTACAAATAGTCTCTGTCTCATAAGCTTAATATTCTCTCCCTCTCTCTCTCTTTCCATTTATTTATTTTTTCATTTCTTTATTGATTAATGTATATTAATGTATATTTGTCCTCAACTCCCCCATTACAATCCTCAACCTCTCCCCATTCATGCCCCCATTGTCCTTGATCATTGGTTAGTTTCATATTTATGCACAAAAGTCCTTTGGTTTGATCTGTCCCTTTTATCCCCGTCCTCCCTCTGAGGTCCAACAGTTTGACCCATGGCTCCTTATCTCTGAGTCTGTTCTTGTTTATCAGTCTATGTTGTTCATCATTTCCCCTAGATGAGTGAGATCATGTCCTACTAGAAATATAAGAATTGAAAATAAGACAAGCAATAATGCTCGTGCTGAAAGGCATCTGAATCAGTCTGTAGTGAGTTTCTTTCTGGGCCAACAGTTCTTTTGAGGCCCAATTTCAATGTCAAACAGATCCTTATGTGTATATGTCAGCAATGATATTTCAGTTCAGGATGGTGGACAAATGGAGGTAATACAGATCCAACTCTCAGTGGTTTGGTCTTAGACAACCTGCAGTGACACACAGCTGCTGACTGCTATTATGGCAAGGTGATGTCAGTGTCTTCCATATCTGGACTGCTTCTCTTCTGTCTTCATGGCTATTCTGTAGTCCTGTCAATTCCTCTCTGTTGCAGAAATCCATATGATCTTGGAGTTGCTTTCTGAAAATATACAAACATATTCTCTACCAAAAGTTAATAAAGGAATATTTTCTATAAATTTGACTTGGGATCCTTTTTCATTTTTTGCTCAAATGATATTCCTCTGACTTGTTTTGACACCATATGTGTTTTTCATGGGTGTCTTGCTGTTAGCATTACAAATAATTTTCTAAAGTACCAATTTTCTAGATGTAATTTACTTACAGGATGTTTTTCCTTACATGGTATTCTTCTACTTTCCTCCTTTTTTGATTTAAATATTAGGAGGCTTTTGAAAATTTTATAATGTAGTCTTGATAGCTTTTAAATTTTAATTTTTTTGCACTATAATATGATTGCTTTAGGTTCATTTCCTGTTGTGCAATTTTATCACAACATGAACTACGAATAAAAATTTTAGTTAACACTTTAAGAACAGCTTTTAGTCTAGTACAATGAATTTTTTTAGAATTGAAATAAATTAGCCAATTTAAATTAGCTTGAAAACTTGACTACTATTTTACTGTCAAATTTATTACTCTAAAAACACTCTTATTTTACCCTGTAAATATTAGGGAAAGGATTATTTGCCTTCTTGAGTAGGCCCTGAGCATTCCTGGTGCCAAGCAGGGTTTAGATATCAAAACCCACTTCCTCACACAATGGGTACAAGACAACTCAAATAAGTCTTGTTGCAGTGAGAGGGCAGCTGCTGTCGTCCAAGTTGTCTGTTACCTGGGTCCCAATTTGAGCTGGGCATGGGAAGCTTAGCAGCCATGGGGCAGGAGACCTCTCCTAGCAGAGATGAGAGTTCAGGCCCCTGCAGAATTGGGGGTTGAAGGTCTGTGCCCCACCTCAGTTGACCCCCAAGTTCTCTCCTGATGGTTCCTCTTTGTGCCTGTCTTAGGTTGTTCCTTCCCTGAGGAATCTTACCCGTCTCTGGCTAACCAGCCATCCTCTGGGGCCAAACAGGGTGATGTGAAGTTCAGTTCTGTCTCCTTGGTAACCTATGCTCCCATGGCCTCCACACCCAGCTCCTACCATGTGATCCTCTCACCTAACAAGAGATTTGTTACCTTTTTCTTCAAGCACCAAAAGGATGATTTTTTATTGATCACATATCTTGGGGAACCCGGGTTTCTTCTCCAGGGAGGGCCCAACTTGCCCCACTGGGTGAGAGACAGATCCATGGTGCCAGTCATCACAAGGCTTCCATATAAACAAAAAGCTCAGGCAATAGCTGAGGGCAATTGGATTGTGAGAAGAGGTTCCCTCTTGGCCAAAAGGGCAAGAGGGAGCAATATAGAATGCTCATGTGCCTTCCCAGGTGGCATACACAATGAAGGGATTAAATCCTTTCATGTCCTTTTAAATTGCTGCCAGACATTCAAAGAGTTAATTCGGCCAAAACTGGTTTGGCTCAGTGGATAGAACATTGGCCTGCGGACTGAAAGGTCCCAGGTTCAATTCCGGTCAAGGGTATGTACCTTGGTTGCGAGCACATCCCCAGTAGGGGGTGTGCAAGAGGCAGCTGATTGTTGATTCTCTCTCATCGATGTTTCTAACTCTCTATCCCTCTCTCTTCCTCTCTGTAAAAAAATCAATAAAATATATATTTTTAAAAAGTTAATTCATAAGTTTGCTTGGGATAATTGTATAATATCCTGTTGTAATTCTAAAATATCAAGAGATGTGTTACCTTTGTCTCCAAGCACCAAAAAGATGATTTTTTATTGATCCTCAGGGGTGCGCGGTACTATTATAAGTAATTGAGGTAACACAAATCTGGGAAAAATTTTAATGACATTGTAGAATAATATCATGTAAGGATATTCTTTGTTCTAGGCCATGGCAATTCCATTTCATACTGGCTGTCCATTTTCTTTTCTATGGAACAGATCTTAATTACATTTTCTGGCCCTCTGCAAGGGGCTAGTAGTGATAGTAGTGACACCCTTTCTTTGGTGTCCACATAAGCCAGAAACTTCTCTTTCATTTTACACACAAAGGGGCAGTGTTTTGATTTTTGTGTCATACAGAAGGGAAGCTTTCATGCCTCACCCATGGTCCTCCTGGATGACCAAGGTATTTGGTATTATTGGTAACTACATTAGGCAGGGGATCAGCCCATGTAAGGGGTCTTACCCATGAAGGATCAGGAGCATAAGTACAAAATACTTCCCCATTTGTCCCAGGTAATATTACTGTACAGTGATGATTGCTAGCATTGCTAGAAAGACGTTATCAGGCATTCTTGGGTTTCTGATTACCTCACAATTTCTTCCCTGAGGTTTGGCGTTCTCATTGATGTTTCTCTGTCTCTGGATCTATTTTTATTTTCATCAGTTTATGTTGTTCATTATATTCCACAAATGAGTGAGATCATGTGATGTTTATCTTTCTTTGCCTGGCTTATTTCACTTAGCATAATGTTCTCCATCTCCATCCATGTTGTTGCAAATGGTAAGAGCTCCCTCTTTTTTAACATAGCATAGTATTCCATTGTGTAGATGTACCACAGTTTTTTAATCCACTCATCTGCTGATGGGCACTTAGGCTGTTTCCAAATCTTAGCTATGGTGACTTGTGCTGCTATGAACATATAGGGGTGCATATATCCTTTCTGATTGATGTTTTTAGTTTTTTGGGATATATTTCTAGAAGTGGGAAACTCTGGGTCAAATGGGAGTTCCATTTTTAGTTTTTTGAGGAAACTCCATACTGTTCTCCACA